CTACCAAACCATTTTTCACAGTGTCCATTTTATATAACCACCAGCAATATATGATGGTCCTAATTTCTTCACATCTTCACCATGATTAGTTGCTTTCCATTTCGTAATCTAGTCTTCCTCTGTGTGTGAAGGATATCTGATTGTGGTTTTGATTCATGTGCTTGTTGGTCATTTTTATGTTTTCCTGGTTAATTCTTACCATAGATCTGACTGGTATTTTATTTTATTTCTTTTTTCTTTATTGATTTTAGAGAGAGAGAAAGGGAGAGGGAGAGAAAGATAGAAACATCGATGACAGAGAACATTAATTGACTGCCTCCTGCATGCCCCCCACTGAGGATTTGGCCTACAAACCTGGGCATGTGCCCTGACCAGGAATTGAATCAATGACCTCTTGATGCATTGGTCAACACTCAACCAGTGAGCCACACCGGCCGGGCCTGACAGGTATTTTATAGATAAGCAAACTGAGACTTTGTGAGTAAGATTAAGTAAGTTGTCCAAAGTCATGGATGAATTGGGTTCAAACCAGTTTTCACACTCTGGATCTAGGGGAAATTAGCCTGGAAAATGAAGACCTTGGGTTACTAAAGAGTATCTGGACTCCAGGGTTAAGAAAACGTCTAAGAACAGTGGGGTTATATCAAGGCATGTTTGAAACAACACAAACGTAAGGAAGGCCAGTTGTAGAGGCTGAGCGACACACAGCTGAGACAGTGAGTCAGTTGTTGGATTTGTTTCCTGAGATATCCAGCTCTCACAGAGGAGTCTTGGGGCAGCTGCTGTAGTCATTGGAAACTTTGATTTCCATTTTGTTTCTCATTGTTCAAAGAAGAAAGAAAGAAAAAAGGAGAAGTAATAGCCTGTCACAATTCTACCAAGTTATACTTCCTTTCACAAAATGCCGTTTTATTTGATTAACTAGAACACTGCAGTCAGAATGTAAAAGATGAACAACTTAGACTTACACAACCCAGTAGGAACAGATGGGATTTCAAAGAGCTTTTTATTACTTTTTAATATTGAAAGCTCTTTGGAATAGGACAGGTGAATAAAGATCATGGCCCAGAGCCAGTATCCTAGTAACCTACAGACTGACCAACTTGACAGCTCCAAAGAAGAGTGTCTTTGCACTGAGACGTGTCACCTGTACCACCACATTGATGTGCCATAGACATGCCACATGGCATCAGCAACTGGCTGGACTTTACATATATCTTAGTCAGCTACACTGCCTCCTCTTTAGAGGATTCTGCCATTGATTACATAATTTGGAAATTAAGGTAAATAATGCACAAATAGTAATGAGAGTTCCTACACAATGCCTTTGATCTAATCATTTCTATGAAGAGCGCTCCATGGTAAACATAAAGATGCCTAAAGTCACATGGAGATTGAGCCAAATGAAGGGGACTTCTAAGTTCTAGTTCTATTTTACCCCAGAGACTGAATAATCTTTCACTGTCTATGAGATGGTATTAAATCAGAAACATAGTCAAATATATACTGGGACTAGTTAGAGAAACCGGAGGTTTCATGTCATAAACTGTAAAGTATGTTGACTAATCCAATTAATGGAGCAGAGCCATGCCATGTGGGAGCACTGTATTTTCCCAGGTATTATGTGAGTAACACTCGCCTGCCACATACCTCCTGGACCATGTGGGGTGTTTTCATTAGCACGCAGAGGCAGATTTTCAGCCAACACCAGAGCTTTCTGTTTACTTTAAAGGAAGTGTAAAGTATAAATGTTTACGAAATCTGGACTAGACTGCCTAGCCTCCAAATGAATTTTGTGGTTGTTGCTATTGTTTTCTTAAATATGTTTTAATATGGATAGAGCAATTTTGGACAGAAAGCAGTGAGATTCACTCTAATACCTTTTCTCCTGTGATCTGGGCCTTCCAAGGAAAGATGAGGAAATGGCAAAAATTTTCTTGCCGGGGATGGTGTCTGTGTACCATCATCCATATAAAATATACAGTTATATTTTTAAAAAATACTTTATAAGACAAGTAATTTTTAAAAATATTTTCCCCCAGAATCTTCTCTCTTCATACTAAAAAAAAAAAACAAAAAATCTTAGCAAACGTAACATTTACCTAAAGATTGGGCATTAGTGGAAACAACTGGAGAGCATTTGCTGGTCCGGGCCTGATATCTGGAGCATTTGTTTCCTGGAGAGTGTGGTGAGATAAAGTGAGCTCTTTCATCCTGAGTCCAAAATACAGATGCCTGAAAATCCTGCTTTAGTGCAGAGCCTAATCAGAGATGGAGCTGAACTGTGAAAGCACAGATCCTTCACAACAAGATCTTTAAATATATGACTGGCTGTATTTAGCACATACAACCCAGCTGAATCTATTTGAATTTCCTGGATGTTGTAAAAAATACTCAATGGACCTTGCAAAGCAGTTACATGTCTGTTTGAACGATACAATTCCAAATGCAAAAAAATATAATGTATTCTACCTTTAAAAGTTTATGGAGCATAACAAGTAGACATTACCGGCTTTTTATTTTTTTTATTTCTTATTTTATCATTTGTGTCCTAAAACACACTTCACTAAGAGTAGTACACCACATGAACATGACTAGTGCTTTAACTATCAGATGCTAGTTAACAGGAACTATAGTAAGTTTTCTTCACTTTTACTTTTGATATTATTTTAGTTTAACTTGACCATTTTTTCTGACTATAAGTGGAAAAAAAGAACATTGTTGAACAATAGAAAAATTATAAAGAAATAAAAATCACCTGTAATTGCAACCCCAGCTATAACAAGTTTTAATGTTCTGGTCTATGTTTTCTAGTCTCTTGTCTATGTTTGTATGAATACACATGCATATCTATATATTTATTTACTTTCAAAGTTGAGTTCATACTTTAAACACTTTCTGTCCCTGATTTCACTGAACACTATAAAATTAGGTTTTGACATGTTACTAAATATTCTTTGTGCACAAACTTTTAAATGGCTGCATAATATTATCTTTTAACAATTTCAGTATTATTGAGCATGTGTAAATTGTTTTTGTATTATGAACGATGTAGTGATGAGTATTTTTATACATAAATATTTTATATATTTATATATATTTTATATAAAATATATACTTTATATATTTTATATATTAAATAATCATATCTGATTATTTCCTTTGGATAGGTTCAATAATTGGAACTGTTAAGTAAAATATAAAAGTAACACTTTTTTAATCTTCATAAAATATTTTTCCTTTATTGTTCTGAATATGCCCAAGTAAATGGTACAAATTCCACCACCAGTGAAAAAGAAGTGCCTTTCTATCCCACCACATTCCCAACCAGACTTACTTTTTAGCATCAAAGAAATTGCTTCCTCAGAAAGGCACATACATCACTGTTGCTTTGATTTGCTGTTCTTTAACACTAGTTAAAATAGCCTTGGCCGCTTTGGCTCAGCGGTTAGAGCATCGGCCTGTGGTCCAGAGAGACCTGGGTTTGGTTCCCACTAAGGGCACATACCTCGGTTGCAGTTTGTCCCCTGCCCCAACCAGGGCAGTGCGAGAGGCAGCCACTCGATGTGTCCCTTTTATGTTGATGTCTCCCTCCCACTATATCTGAACAAAAAATTTAAAAAATGTCCTCCGGTGAGGATAAAAAAAAAACTAGTTAAAATATGCACTCAAATTTTTTGGAAGTGGCAATTTGTTTTCTTTTAAAAATTGTTCATTTCCTTTGCCCACTTTTTCTTTCTTTTTTTTTTTTTGGTGGTACATGCCCCTAACGGGAACCGAACCCGGGACTCTGGTCTACAGGCCGATGCTCAACCGCTGAGGCAAACTGGCCAGGGCTGCCCATTTTTCTTTTTTCTGGTAATTTAATTATTTCTTTATTTTTGTTTTTAAATAAAAAATAGATATTAATTATAAAATTTAAACAAAATAAGCCCTGGCCAGTTTGGCTCAGTAGTTAGAGCACTGGCCTGCGGTCCAGAGAGACCCGGGTTCGGTTCCTGCTAAGGGCATGTATCTTGGTTGCGGTTTGTCTCCGGCCCTGGTTGGTCATGTGGGTGGCAGCCACTCGATGTGTCCCTTTCACGTTGATGTTTCTCTGTCTCTCTCTTCCTCTCTCTCCCTCCCACTCTATCTGAACAAAAAATGGGAAAATGTCCTTGGGTGAGGATAAAATAAATAAATAACAAATAAACAATATAAAATTATAAACAATGCAAATATTAAAGTTACCTATCACTTTCTTCCCACTTCTTTCCCACAGACACAATTTTTTGGCATATTTCTTATGGACAGTTGCTTTTACAAAATACATAAGCATACATATACATCTATAGGGTTTTTTTTCATCCTCACCCGAGGACATTTTTCCATTTTTTTGTTCTGACAGAGTGGGAGGGAGAGAGAGGAAGAGAGAGAGAGAGAGAAAAACATCGACATGAAAGGGACACATCGAGCGGTTGCCACCCGCACAGCCAACCAGGGCCGGGGACAAACTGCAAACGAGGTACGTGCCCTTAGCGGGAACCGAACCCGGGTCTCTCTGGACCGCAGGCCGACACTCTAACCGCTGAGCCAAACCGGCCAGGGCTATAGGGGTTTTTTAAGCATAAATTAAATCATTTGCTTTTTCACTTAAAAGTATATCTAGATTTATATATCTATATTTATTTACTTGTCAGTACTCATAGCTAGTCCTTGCTCATTTAAAAAGCTGCAGTATTCTGAAATTTGGGTGTTGTGTTGCATAGTTAATTTAACCATTTCTTTATTTATGTTCACCCTTGTACATATATTTTTATGGTTTTGGGGAATAAGAAGCCCTAGCCTTTTCTATGTATCTTCCCTCTAACTGAATGTAAAATATGGATTTATTTTCCATTATGTTGTTTTCTCAGGGAAGAAACTTCTGTCCTGCAGCTGAGAACACAGTTCTCATTAACTGTTTAAAAGAGCCAAGGGCAAAAAAATTGCTCTGTTGGGCTCTTCTCTCCATGCTCAGGATGCCTGGAAAAGCTGCGCAAGATGTCTGTCAGCCTCCCCCGACCCCAGTTCTGACATCGGAGAATATGAGCATAGCTATTCGCGGCTCTAGTGGGGAGGAGAGGGGTGAGTCACCATCCTCAGCCGGTCCTCTGCTGAAATGATGGCTTAATGCTTGTAGCTGTTGAGCAGGTTGCCACTCCTACAGATGAGGCTGGCCCTACTCCTATTATTGGAGAGTTATTTCTACTTGGAGGACAAGGAGACAAGGGAAAGCTTCATATAGCAGGTGCTATTGGAGATGAGTCTGTTGGTCTCTCCAAACACCCACTTCCTGTGCTTCCCTGAAGCTACCTCTGCCTCCAGAGCTAGGTCCTAGCAGTCATCAGCTAATGTCCAACAGCCGAGCAGTTACCCTGGTGGCTGGGACTGTGGGGAAACCTATAGCCTATGCAGAAGGCTTCTTAAACTAGAGACCAGTCAAAGCCTAAGAACATAGTGTCATCTCTCAGGGTCAAAGAACCAGCCCTCAGAGACAACATGGATTTAAACCCACAGTAGAGTTTCATTTGGCCTTTGTCTTTGTTTACGTTGCCCATAAGTAGATCTGAAGACAAAGCAAAATCTTCAGGAAAGGCAGAGTGAAAAGCAGATTTATTGTATATAATTTTGTGACAGCATTATCTTCAGCTTCTTCCAGGTCAGGAATAGAAGAGGGGAGAAAAGAATACATACCCAATTGTGGATACAAAAGGACTTAATTCCACTATCAAGGCTAACAGAAAAGAGAGAACCAGAAATGTGGGTTAGGACAAGAACCCAGTCAGGGTGAGGAATTTCTCAAAGGTATAATTTCTTGTTTCATTGTATGAAGAAACCATGGTTACTTAAGAATTCAATAAGTTGGATCCTCACTAATAAAATTCATTCTATGTTTCGGCCAACAATAGAGACAAGAGTGTTCACACCTGCTTTGTAGATCTTAGCCCAATTCAACCCCTGCCCATTCGTTGTGATCACTGTGGGGTTTAGAAGCCAACCTACTGTGGAAGGCACTAGAAAACAGTGATGCTTTTTGGAGGCAGCAGTTGGCCAATCGATGCCCTCCCTCAGAGGCAGTATAGACCTGTAATTGAGACCATAGGCACTGGACGTGATTGCAGGAGCTCAAATCTCAGCACCGTCCTTTGCTGGCTGTGGGACCTGAAATTAAGTTGTTCAGCCTCCTGGTGTCAGTTTCCTCACCTGTAGGGTGGAGATAGAATTATCATGAAAACACACTGACTGCCAGCTGTCGTCAGGAGACTGTGGATGGATGTGGGGTTGTGAATGTTTCTTGCTCTTCCTGTAAATTCTGAAAGGGTTAGATTTCTACAGCGGCATGCTCTGTGTGCCTCTTTTGTTCAGTCAAGGGAACAGATAACATTGGGGAAGCCCCAAATTTTTCTGAGTCATATTTTCAAAAAATATTTAGAGTTTGGATTTTTTAAGCCAAAGGCTTGGAAATTTATGCTCAAGATCAATTTCTTGGCAGCTGTGTCTAGATAATATAACCTGATGTTTGATGTTGTGATTTTATATCTGTGTATGTTTATAGGAAAACTTATTTTTCTACTAGATTACACTTGTTAAAATATCAGGATTTTATTGCTTACCGTGTTCATTCAAAGAAATTAGTTAATTTTATTACATGAAACTTTGTTATGATTGTTATATTGTCCTGAAGTTTTTGTACACATTCAAGTTTACAAGTGGAGTAGATGGAGCAGAAACAATATATACATATTATCTATTACCTAAAAGTAGATTTATAAAATTTAACCCAGATCCAATACATGATTTTTTCCAATGTATCATTATTACTTCTGATCCTATGACAATTTAAAAATGGGTGGGGATAGTGTAGTGAGGAGATTACCTAACAACGAAATGATTCTATAACATTGGGCAAAGCTTGAAGTCTGTATCATGTGGAACTAAATGCCTCACCTGATTGCTGTGGGTGTCTTTTTGCACACCTAAGCATTTCACATGGACAACTGTGTAAAATTAAATTTCTTCAGTAAACATTTACTAGCATAATAGTTTAGGCATTGGCTTAAAAACCAGAAATACTTTAATGATCTTTTCTAGAGAGAGGCTTATTCTCTGGCAAGGGAGAAAGGCCTAAATAAATGATTAGATATATCATTTACATACATTCCATCCAAGTGGTGGAAATGCAGCGAGAGAAGGAAGATGCTGTGCTTAAGTAAAGGAAATTTGGGCTGAACCTTGGAGCCTGAGTAAGAGTTTAGTAACTTATCAGGTGGATAAAAAGCAGGAGTAGAGGGGTAGCAGAGACAGGGTTTCAAAATAGTTGAGAAACAGTGATTCTTCCATGTGGTTGGGGGATACAGAGGAAGAGAGGCTGGAGATGAAGTTGGGAAAGTATCCTGGGAGCAGGATGGAAAGAGCTTTGGGAACTATATTAGTTTCCTTGTACTGCTATAATAAATTGATACAAATTTAGTGGCCAAAACAATACAAGCTTATTCTTATAATTCTATAGACCAGAAGTTTAATATATATATATATATATATATATATATATATATATATATATATATATATGGAGCTAAAATCAAGGTATCTCAGGGCTAGTTCCTTTCGGAGGCTCCAGGGGAGAATGCAATCATGGCCTCTTCCGGCTTCTAGAGGCAGCCTGTATTCCTGGGCTCTTGACCTCTTTCTCACACACTCAGACCTCTTGCTTCCACCGTCACGTCTCCTACTACTCATATCCATCTGCTGCCGTCCTATAAGAAGTCTTGTGGTTACCTTGGACCCACCCAAATAAGTCAGGATAATATCCCAGCTCGTGATCCTTAGTCATATCTGCAAAGTCCATTTATCATAACATAGTCACAGATCTGGGGATTAGGTGTGGACATCTTCACAGGAATGGGGGTGTCCATTATTTTACCTACCATAGGTAACACGCTGTTGAGTGTAAGAATATCTATAGGACTATCAGGAACTATTACAGGCTTCTACACTTGGCCAGATTTTCATGTGAGAAGATAACAATGTCTGCAGGGTAGAGATAAAGACTTATGACAGTCCAGGTGGGAGATGGTGAGGACCTGAATTGGGAGAAGAACAATGTGGATGGAGAAAAGGGAGGTAAAACAGTCATAGCAGAACATCAATATGCAGTTACTCTGAATGTCAACTTTTGATTGTTTTGTTCTTTTTCCGCCCATTTCTTTGCTGAAATAAAGGGGTGGAATGTGATTATTTCTTACTCCTTAGGTGGGTTCAAAGATTGAGCCCTCTATGCCCTTAGAGAAAGAGATTCGACTATTTTGGCTGGTTTTGATTTAGGCTGTACATGGAATGATCCCTTGAAGTCTTTTATGCAAGAACAAGGATCACAGGAAGGGACAAGGAGATTGAGGGGGTGGGAAAAATAAGAGAGGAGTAAGAGATGGGCAATCCCAGGTGGGACTCCCGAAGCCTGGGAATGAATCTTGGGGAAGTGGCCAAAAAGAGGAAAATACCAGTGCCATGAGAGTGGACCTGAGAAGGGGCATGAAGCTCTCACAAACCACCTGATGAGGCAGAGACACTCCTTAGCTCACCAAATCATTTCCTTTTCCTCCTGGGAACACAGGGACTCTACCTTGGCCCCCAGCATCTAGGCGGGACCGAGTGTTTGGTCTGGTCAATGTGATATGGATGGGATATAAGAAATCTGTGCTCGATCCTGCTTTCCCTGGGGATTACAAGCATGTACATGGTGAATCTACAGGATGGAAAGAACTTGGAGGACCTCTGCCCAGAAAGCTGTCTGATGAAGAGCACCCTCATTGAACTTGGCATTAGCGAGAAACAAACTTTGATTGTGTTAAGCCACTGAAATCTGGGGCATATGTGTTAATGCAGCATAGCTTCACCTGTCATGACTAAAACACCAACTAATTTTGCTTTTAGTTCCCCAGATAACATCACTTTGGGGGCTCCAACACCAGACCCAGTGAGTGAACAGTAGGAAGGTCATATTGGAAAGACTTTCCTGGAATTCCTGATTGTCCCCTGGTGAACCCCACTGCCCTTCAGGATGCCCTGGGTCCTGGACACCTAGTCAGATAGCAGAGTGGTAGAAAGGTCTGGCTCGTAGTTAGGGGGACTGACCTGTATATGTGAGGTCCATGCAAGGGACCTCTGAAATGGGGTAGCAGGTACTGACACCTTGGATACACTGTATTGTTGTAATTATTCCCATGTTTAAAAATCAAATGAGCAGATCCCACAAAAATGCTGCTCCCTTCATTCATAGACATCACCCCCAAAGCTGATTTTGCTCTGGAGCCTCCACATTTCTTCTGTCTTAGTCGGGATCCCACCCCCGTGCAGAGCCTGAGACACGGACTTGTGTGCAAGTTGTTTATTCACACATCATCTCGGGGAGCAGGAGTAAGGGACCAGAAGATGTAAAACAGGGAAGAAGAAGAAACTACTACAAGGATATTTATCAAGTTATCCACCACTTATCTGGGGCAGTTGGCACATTTGGTGCTTGCTCCCACCATGGCCTGCTGAGGAGCATATAGATGGCCTCACAACTGTCTAGCAAACAATTCGACAGAGAAATATTTATCCACCACCCACTGGTTGAGGGTGGCAATAGGAGCAGTAACTCCCCTGACCTGAGGGCCGCTCCTGGGAGCCTGCGGAGCACTCTCCCCGGTGCTGGCACAGCCGCCCTGAGGCAGGCAGAGATGCCCAGAGCGTGCTGGAGGCGCCGTGCTGGCAGCCTGAAGCTGTCTGAAGCCCCCGCAGCACTGTTTGCCAAAACCAAGGCTGTAAACTGTGCTGAGGCTGAGCGGATGTGAAGGACCAGCAGGTGTTCAATGCACAGCCCCCTCCGGACAGCACCCTGATCTCCTTATGGGGGATGCCTTTGGGACAGGAATTCCTTGTTTGTACCTCCCATTTCCCAGAAGCTGAAATCCAGTGGTACAGATCTGTCCTCTATCTGACCTAAGCGCCCCCTATCCGTGAGTGGATGACACTGAGAGGCAGGCTGTACACACCAAGAAAGGACCTGCCTGGCAGGATCCACTCCAGTTTCTCACAGTTGT